GCAGGAGAGCAAGAGCGGGAAGATCATCGTGGGCGTCCCGTCAGTGGTCGGGGCGGGAAGAGCCCCATCGCGGGTTGAGCTCTGAGCGGGCGCCACCTGGGCGTGGGACGCTGTCCACCCCCTCCTCCTCCTCCTCGTTTTCCTCCTCTCGTGATCATCCTGCTCCTCTTGCGCCTCCTGGCCCTCCTCCATCTTGTCTCTGCTTGCGAACGGGCTGCGCTGTTGGAAAGACTTGTCTCTTCGTCTGGCCGATGTTGCCCATTCCAGCCGCTGCTCGACAGTAATGCAGAGGCGCTGGCGAGCCTGGTGCCGCCGCGGCACCGTTCTCGCCGAGCTGATTGGTCTTCCCGATCGTATTGTAGCCGATGTCACAGACGTTCGCACGGCCGCGCTAAAAAAAAAAAAAAAAGGCACTTGCATCCTTACGGTAGGTGCATGCGGCGTTGGGCGTTGGGGCGCCGGCGACGCCGGCGACGCCGGCGAGGGCGTTCAAAGTTGAACTCTGCGACGAGAGGTGACGAGGAAGCACCGATGGACACGCTAACGCCACTGGACCCGACTGAAATCGACTTTGAACGATCGGGGCCGCGATCGGTTCAAGGTTGAACGATCGACGCAGTGGCAAAAACCTTTGCGCGCGCCGACGCTGCACGAACCCCCAACCCCTTCCCCAGGACTGGTTTATTCATCCTGAGCCGTTTCTTGACGGCCCCGAGGCCCGGTCAGGGCCCCCTGAGGCCGCTAGCGAAAAGCTTCCCGTCGTAATTTGTTCACGAGGGGGTTTGGGTACAGTGGAAACCCATGCCAAAAAATACCCGGCTTGCCTCCAGGATGCCCTGGGTGTCTTGGGTCTCGGTGGTTTTGCGATGGAAAGCGCGACGCTCCCACACCAAAAATCAGTGGACGTCATGGGGTCTCAGGGTTGGGTTCCTTGGTGATCGTTTTCTTATTCATGGTTTTGCAAGTCGGCGCGGGCCCTCGCACCCCAACATGGAGTAAATCTTGGCTGTTTGTGGCGCCTGTTTCGAGCAGGTGAAGCCTCTCCCATAGGACGCACTGCTGCAAACAGTCGCATTCAGCAGAGGTCCGGAGCCAGACCCCCCTCACCCCCCCCCCGTCCGCCCAATGTCGAAACGACGGCGGCTAAGAAAAGGCTCACCTGTGGAGGGTTCCTTGTGGTCGAGCTCCTGCGCTCGGTGATGGGCGTGCGGGAGGTTCCCCTGGCCGGGGGGGCGCGCCCTTCCCCGAGACCTGGCGCTGCACAAAAATTGCAACATCGCAAAAAATCACGACTGGAGCCCCAGACCCCTCCTCCTCCTCCGCCTCCTCCTGCTCCTCCTCCTCCTCCTCCTCCTCCTCCTCCCCCTCCCCCTCCTCCTCCTCCTCCTCCTCCTCCTCCTCCTCCTCCTCCTCCTCCTCCTCCTCCTCCTCCTCCTCCTCCTCCTCCTCCTCCTCCATCTCTCTGCGTCGTTTCTGGGAGGCCCCTTCTCTCGGCGGCGCCGTCCCCGCCCTGCGCCCTGCGGCGGAGGCCGCCGCCGCGCCCGCGCTCTCGGGGGGCCCGCCCCTTCTCACGAGCGGCACGTCGGCCGTTGCAGGTGGGCATCTCGGGAGTCCCCGCTCCCAGTCTGCTTCGAGCCGGCCACGCGCAGACGGGGCGGGGGGAGGGGGGAAGGCTTCTTAGGAGCACCCCTGCTTCTTGGAAGGCGTGGGCCTTCTCTGTACACATGATGCCAGCGCCTTCTAAGAAGCAGCCTCCTTCCAAGAAGCCTTCCCCCCTCCCCCATACCCCCCTCTGCGCACCGCCAATCTATCGAAGGGGAAACAAAAATCCAGAAACATCAATTGTTGGCGCTCCTCGCGGATCTCTTGGATCTGCGCTGGCCGCCCCTGGCGGCGCGCTCCGCGCGCCAGGGAGAGAGGCCCCAGCGCAGATCCAGAAAAGCCATGCGGACCGTCGAAAGTTGATGTTTATGTAGTTTTTTCTGTTTCTAATTCTCCCAGGTCCCAACCTGCTTCTAGCGCCTTCGGCGCGTTTGCTGTGTGTCGCGGTCCTCTGGGAGGGCCTGAGCCCAATCTGCCTCGTCCGCCTTTCTGCTTCCTCTTTCTGCCTACTTCTTTCAGCCGACCTGTATCCATATCCACGCCGTCGCGGTCTGGCTCTTTTCCCACAAGAGCAGAAAGCGCCACAAGCAAGAGTTTTCGGCGCGCACAGGGTCACTCCTGCCTGCAGCTGAGATCCGTCGGGGAATCTCAAACGGCACAGGCCCATAAGCTTTCGGAAGTGCGCGCGGATCTCCTGGATCTGCGCTGGAGCGCCCTCGGCGGCGCCTCTGGCGCCGCCTCCAGCGCGCTCCGCATGCCCGGGAGGGGGGTTCAGTGCAGATCCTTAGACCCGCGTGGACCTCCGCAAGTTCATGTTTATGCTATTGTGTCTTCTTATGTCTCCCTCGTCTTCGCCTTTCAGGGCCTCCAGGGGGGGCGCCCTCGCTGCCACGCCTGGCCCGAACACAGCCCAGGCGAGGTCCGAGAAGTGACGGTTTCGGTGCATGTTTCTGCTTCCCCAGGAGTCGCGGGTGCTGTCGGGCAGCGCCATCGCAGGCCCAGCCTTACAGGGCTGCGTCTCGGACTCGGCCAACCTTTTGGAGCCGAACTTCGCATGGGTGAAAGCCCCAGGAGCTGCAGAGAGTGCTTGGGTCAGCCACGGCGTTGACGAGGCCTTTGACGGCTCTTGCAGCCTGGTGCCAGTAGCATATTCGACGAATAGTGCCAGTGGGTTGACGTCAAAGCTGCTCAAGGGACCACATTGGCAGTGGAAGCACCGCTCGGGGTGGAAGGACTACGACCAAGTGCCCTCCGACAAGATCGAGGATGCTTTCCAGAAAGGCCATCCAAAGGCTCGCCTCAAGGCCGGCAAGAAGGGCAGCAATCCAATGGAGATTTTTTTCGCCGACATGGTCCAGCACGATGCCAGCACAGGGAACACCAGGGAGGTCCGCCGGGTGGGCCCAGATCCGTGGTGGCAGCGCTTGAAGCGGCACACTTTGTCGCACTACTACGCTTGGGACACTGGCTTGCCGAGAACGGAGACGTTGGAGATTGCGAAGGAGCGGAAGAGAATGATTGAACAGGCGGGCATTGGCGCAGTAGTCTCGAGATTCGACGTTCCACGGCAACTCTACCACTCGTCCGGCATTGTCGCGGACGTCGCCAGGAGCAGGATCTTTCAAGCTTGCGGAACGCTCCTGGTCGCCCTGAACGCGATCTGGATAGCCATCGAACTGGACAACAACGACGGGCCTACTTCGAAGGATGAGTTCCTGGTGGTTGAAAACGTTTTCTGCGCCCTCTTCAGCATTGAGATCGCAATTAGGTTCGCAGCCTTCAGGAGAAAAGCGCTGTGCCTGAGAGACAGGTGGTTTTGCTTTGACAGTGTGCTTGTGCTGCCGATGATGCTAGACACGTGGCTACTGCCACTCGCTGGCGCTCTGGCGGGCTCTGAACGCGGGAGCTCGGTCAGAGGCGACCTCACGATCTTGCGCGTCGCCAGATTGTTGCGCCTCACGCGTATGATCCGCGTGCTGAAGTCGATGCCGATGATGATGACGTTGTTGAGAGGGATCACCACTTCCATTCGGCCCGTGAGCATCGCAGTGGGCCTTCTGGTGATCATCATATACATTTTCAGCATACTTTTCCGAAGCTTGGTGGATCCAGGCGGCTTCCTCGAGAAGGAGTATTTCCCCTCCGTGACGTACACCATGCTGTTTCTGTTGATGCACGGCACGTTCCTTGACTCTGTGGGGGTGAAGGGATATGAGATTCATAGAGACGGTGGCATCGTCTTGATGTTCTTGTTCTTGGTTTACATATTTATGACAAGTTTCCTCATGCTCAATATGCTGATAGGCGTGGTCTGCGAAATGGTCTCCGAGGTGAAGAACGGGGAGCATGAGCTAATGGCAAAAGTCACGCTGCGAGGCGAGCTGTACGACATCATGGACGTCTACGACGAGGACGGCAACGGCACGTTGAATCAGTTCGAGTTTGAGCGGTTCGTCCGCAACGTCGAGGTAATGCAGGCGCTCCACAAGTTCGACGTCGACATCAGAGGTCAATGAAAAAAACATAAACATGAATGTTAGAGCTCCGCGCCGATCTGCGCTAAAGCCCCCTGGCGCCGCCACTGGCGCGCTCCGCGCGCCGGGGAGGGGGGTTCCGCGCAGATCCAAGAAACCCGTCCGGGCCTCCCAAATTATTGTGTAGCTTTCTCTTCCTCGAAGAGGGTTCCAGTCCCTCAGCGAGATGATGTTCTCGAACGTCTCCACGGGAGGAGTACAGAACGCTCTGGGCTTCGACGAGATCATGAGCCTGGCGGTGCGCCTCAAGGGCACTGGCGCCTGCCGGGTCGAGGACATCGTGAAGTTGCGCGATTTCACCAAGCTCCGCCTCCAGGGCCTGGAGGAGCGGAGAGAGTCGGCCACGCGCAGACGGGGTAGGGGGAGGGGGGAAGGCTTCTTAGAAGCACCCCTGGTTCTTAGAAGGCGCGGGCCTTGTCTGTAGATGTAAGGCCCGCGCCTTCTAAAAGCGCCCTCCTCCTATGAAGCCCCCCCCCCTTCCCCATACCCCCTTGTGCGCACCGCCAAGAGAGGCAAGCCCTGACATCCTCCGATTGATTTTTCCCATCCGCGGCCCCAGAGCTTGTGTCCCGGATCGACTGTTGATGGCCCAGGGGCCCCGAAAGCGGCCCCAGGCGCCGAGCTGACGTTAGAGATCTGGTAGCAGTGCCACCGCCAGGCCTCCACACGGGCCCCCCCTCGGGCCAGGGCGCGCCTCGGTGAGTGC